TATTTCGGTCTTCACCTTTTTTTTTTCATTTCCCTCCTTGTTTTATATATATATATTTCTAAAATCTCGTTGGTGTTTATTTTTTTCACTTTTCAATGCTTATTTTTCACTATCTACTTTTATCAGTTTCATTTCTTTCACTTTTTAGTTTCTTTATTTTCCTTTCTTTCACTGCCTACTTCTGTAACTTTCACTTCTTCCACTCACTATATCCGTTTTATTCTTCCTTCACTCACCACTCCTTTCAGTTTCTACCTCCTTCATTTTCATCAAGTTATTCCACTTCTTTCATTTTCAACGATCTTTACTTTCCACTTCCATCACTTTTCCATCATTTCCAGTTTCTTTCACTCTCCACTACCACTATTTCTACCTTCCACTTCCACTTCCTCAATTTCCATTTCCCTCCACCTTCCTCTTCCACCATTTCCACCACCCATCATCTTCCACTTGCACAATTTCTATCTCCTACCATCTTCCACTTGCACAATTTCTATCTCCTACCATCTTCCACTTGCACAATTTCTATCTCCTACTATCTTCCACTTGCACAATTTCTATCTCCTACTATCTTCCACTTGCACAATTTCTATCTCCTATTATCTTCCACTTGCACAATTTCTATTTCCCCTTCCCCTTCCACAATTTCCATCTCCCTCCACCTCCTACTTCCACCTTCCATCACTCGTTCCTCAAGACGCAGACAGAAGAACCCACCGTCTACTGCTCATGCGGATTTAAGGAGGAGGAGGAGGAGGAGGAGGAGGAGGAAGATAAAGATGATGACGAGGAAGAAGACACGATTATAGGTTGGAAGAGCGAAGGAGAAGACAGGTGAGGGAAATGATAACAAGGGAGAAAGATGGAAGGAAAAATATCAAGGAAGAAAGGGGGAAGGAAAAATGATAAGAAGAAATGGGGAGAAGGAAAGCGATAACAAGAAGGGGAAAAGATATAGTTAGGAAGAACGAGAAAGGAAAATTTATAAGAAAGAAAAATGAAAACAAGGAAGAAAGATAAAAATCACAAGGAAGGTGCGCATGCCTTCGGAGACATGCATGACACTCCAGCTTAATGTTTGTCATGCACTAGAACTTCTGTGTTCGTGGTGGAGGTTGTAAAAATAGTTTTAACGCTGTGCAACATAACTACATAAAATTTTAAGATTGCGATCTTTACTCTTAATTTCTGAAGCGTTGGAAGAATAATTCTGATTTGTCTATATTTGAAAAAAAATCTTTGAATATGATGTGAAAAAAAGATACAAGAGACAGAAAACAACAATAATAATAATAACTCAAAGAAACATCTTTCGAAATTCCCACGAAAAAAAATATCACACGAACCGTCTCCATTTCAAAATCTCTTTTCTTCGCAAGTCCTAAAAATCAAACGCTAAATAAAACCAGACTCTCGTGGAAACCGATACCTATGAAGCAGCCGGGTGAGGTTGTCGCACTGGGCTGGTTTCGTCAGGTAAAAACACCTGGGTATCAATATTCTTTCCATGTGCACGTAAGTGTCCACGACCCGGTCCTCTTCCTTTCCTACCGCCCGTGCCCTGGTCATCCTACCCTACCCCTTTGGTAGGGTAGGACTGTCCTCAAACCAAGTGTGCAGTTTACCTCCTAACCTAATCATCACCCCCCCCCCACTTTTCCGTCTCCAGGCTTCCAATTCTGACTTTTTTCTTGACTAGGTTGTTCCGTACTATATTGTCGTATCTGTTTTCTGTGTATTTATCAGTTCGTATTCTTTATCGGGGAAACTACATACGACCACCTTTACAGTATGTGTCCCACCCTTGCCCACACTACGTTCTATAAACTCTAATTTATTTTATTCTACTGATGACTTGCAAGGTGTACTTTGATATCAATATATTGTAAAAGAGGTAATCTGAAGAAACGCAAAGAAAGGAAATAAACAAAATAAACACAAACAAAACAGTCGAATAATGTAATGGTTTGCAAGAAATTATCAACAAAGGAATGTGACTAGCTTTCAACCCAGGCATTATCGTACACCGCCAACCTACCGCTATCGTGCAGGTTTTAAACTATTCCATTCAAGTCATCTCTCGTTACCACATCACCCACACGCATTGCACACTGGTCCTGAAGCTCAAATCCTATTAAATATCTACCTTGAGTATATACACTGCCTCCTTTCCTTTACAAACGAGGTCATTGAAAACACTGACGCAACATGAGATCAGGTCAGGTATAAAATGTCTTCAGATGCGGATTCACATGTCGGTTATCACGTTCTCACAAGAGGCTCTTGGGGTGAATACTGACGAAGTGCTCACACGGTTTACCTCTGTCTCTCTTTTCATGTTTCTGCGAGGGCATTTCACAAGGGCTGACTCGGCTTGGATATAATTGATATAAAGTGTACATTCCGGGCCTCTGATTTTTTGTCTGACTTGACTGAAATACTTAGGAGAAATTCCATTAAAGCAAGAAACACAGGGAAGAATTGAGGGGAAAAAAGAAGACGGTATAGATGCGCACTTGCACTAACAAGCGACTGAATTGTTCTTTGCAATTTTTAATCCGCGCAAAAAAATACCACAGTATTAATAAAAATAAAAGTTTTACGCGCAGAATACTGAGATATAATCCGGTTTCCGCCAGCTAATATGTTTGGTCCTTATGACAATACCTTATCACTTTCTTGCCCCAAACACATCACTGGAAGTTGATATATTCTTCAGGTTAAGCTAAGCGATTCTTAGCATTATCATTATCACTTGTTTGGTATTTCATTATCTTAATAAGCACTCATTGCGTGTTTCATCATTGCCATTAACAAAATATGATATTTAGATCACCAAATTATCACATGTTGCATATTTCATGGCAGTCATCGTTTCCAAGTACTTCCTCTTTTGCACATTTTCCAACATCCTTTTTATTTTAACTTTCTTTACTAGCTCCAAGTCTCATTTTCAATCCAACACTTTTTTTTTCACTTTAATTTTTCTTCACTCCAAATTTCCCTCACGGCTGTCCTCAAATTCCAGTTCTGTCTTGATTCTTCTTCTCGCCTCACATACGTCATACAAAATTTCTACGAAGGTCATTCTCGTGAAGGAAACCGAGTGTGCAGTGCGTCTTTCATATATCACAGACTGTTGGAGGAAAAAGGGAGAGAAAATATCATTAGTTGTTTAGATTGTTAAGCTTCGTTGTTTGTAGTCAAGTAGTTGTTTGGTATTCTTATGTGATGGGTTGTTTGTATTCTAGTAGAGTTTGTTGTTAAATATAGTAAGAAAAAAGTATATTTAATGTTGTTTTAACGCAGTGGTGTATTCAAGAGATGTGCAGTAAATGAATATTCTACCTTTCCTTCTCATGTGTGTGTGTGTAAAGCATGTAATCTCAAAGGATCTGTTGATGACTGATAAGGCAATCTAGATTTAAAATTCCGTGTAAAAATAGTTGTTAACGTTGCTTTATCTTGAAGTATCTTTTTTTCTCCACTATGTTGCTATTTATGTGGTTGTTTAGCTTTCTTGTTTCTAGGTGTCTAGGGATGTTTGAATTAATTTTTGTTTGTTAGTTTGTCTAGGATCGTTAGTGTTCCGTTGTGTCTATATGTGTAATAATGTTCGTTTGTGGGTATTCATGCGGATGCGTTTGTTAACATATACGTGAATGTATAGATGGATGTGTAAATATATATGCATTTATACTCTCATAACATCAAAATGCAGATTTACGGCGTTCACTTACTCAAGGCACAGGAGGAGGAGCCCCGCATGTGAACGGCGTCGACTACGCTTGCTCCGCAGGCTTCTCTTCCTCGAGGGGCTTGTGTGAAAACTGGGACTGTAGCGTCCTCGCGGTCAGCACCTTCACCAGCCCCGAGGAATCGGCGAGCGACGTCGAGCTGGTGTCTGCGGCTGTTGACGGTGGGCACGAGGTGTTCTGCGGCGTCTCTGACTCTATCTGTAGAGCTGTAGAGCTGTAGAGCCTCCCGAAGGGCGGTGGAGGGTCCTCGTAGGGCGGGATCTTCACCTTCTCCACCTCCGAATAGGGCGGTGGAGTGTCCTCCGTTTGGAGGTCGGAGTAGGCAGGAGGGAGGTCGAGGTCGTAGTGCATCGTCGTGAGCGAGTCGCTGGCGTCCGAGTTGAGCGAGAGCTGCCTCGTGACCGACGAGACGTTCCTGGGAGAGGCCGTCGAGCCTCGCTTGGGGCACAGGCAGAAGCGGAGGCACACGGTCACCACGAACACGATGGCGCCCAGCGGGATGAAGATGATGTGGCCGCCGTTGTAGCCAGGGCTCTGCACTCTCGGGTCGTCCAAGTCGTTGCTGAAATCTGTAAGCATGGTGTTGGTGACGTGAGTGCAGTTGTTCTTCCAACGGGGCGCTTCCTCCTCCTCCCTCGCGTCGTCCTCGCCCGTGCAGTTCCTCGCGATGCGCGTTAAGGGGGGGAAGGTAAACTCCAGCCCGACGGAGGAGCAGAGGGCAAGATCCTCCCAGGCCCGCGAGAAGGTCAGGTTCCCACCCGCGTGCTCACCCAGATTTATCGTCAGTTCGGTTTCGTCGATGATGAAGCCGAACTCGTGCCACGGCCGACCCGCGTCGTCGAAGTGCGCTTCGGACAAGTCTGGAACGACGGCGACGACCGAGGAGTTGATATGACACTCCTTGGACCGGATGATCACCGTCATGTTTGCCTCGGAGGTCGCATACACATACCTATAAAAGTTAGTGATTACCACGCGGTTGGAGGTCAAGGGACACACCTTGAGGGCAGAGACGGCGGGGAACGCAAAAACACTGAGCACCAGCAGGAGTCCCCGCAAGGATGTCGATCGACTCCTCAACAGCGCTCGACGAGGCGACCCGAGCCCTTCCTTCCGCCTTCCAGGATTCATGGCGAGACGCCCCTTAATGCCCGCGAAAGGAGAAAGGGAAACACCGCCTCTGTCGCCTCCAACCTTCACGACAGCTGGTAGAGCAGTCGTATTCGCACAGCACCTGGAACG